AGATGGAGGTTAATTTGAATACGCAGGTGCAGAGTGGTGTGAAGCCTGCTAAGAGGGGAAGGAGGGTGGTGGAGGGAGCTATTGGAGTGGTGCTCCAAACAGAAGCAAGGACTTGCCGGCTCCCAGGCAGCCTGGGAGTGGGGACTTGCCAGCTCCTGGGCGACTGGGAGTGAAGCCGGAGCCTATTCTTGCACAAATATCATGCAACGGGCCTCTAGTTTATTCCATAAAAAGCCTGTGGTTGTCACCCCATCACGCTGTAACGACTGATCAGCAGGAGACTGCATGCGTGGGGTGAGCAGGGCTGTGTGTGTGTGTGTGTGTGTGTGTGTGTGTGTGTGTGTGGCAAAGTGCACGGAGATGGGTGGGACTTGACTCTGGAGGACTTGGTGGAAGGTATGTGCCGGTTTCTGAGTCCCATCATAGTGGCGGGTGTCTTTCTGGGCCCCACCTCCCACAGCAGTGGTGGAGGTGGCCGCTGAACTTTCCTGTGTCCTGCCTGCTGTGGCGGTAGCAGCAGCCGTGGGCCTTTCTGGGTCCGGCCGAGCTGTGGGACTCTGGGTCCTGGGTCTGAAGCGATTTTGTGCGCTGGGCCCTAGTCTAATTTTGTGTGCTGGGCCCCTAATAAAAGGGTAATATACTGATTAGGGCGGACATCCTTCCAGACAAAGCTGCAGTGGCTGTGAGGGCCGAGGTGCAGCTGCGAAAGGCCCAGGCGCAGGCCGGCAGTGGCAGCGGCGGCAGCAGTGGGATAATGGGCGGCAACTTTCCCTGATCTGCCAGGTTGCCTCCCGCAGAGGGAGGCCAGACTGTGGCTTAGGCTGAGGGCTGAGGCAGAGGCAGAGGCTGTTAGGGGCAATCAGGCCAGCAGGGGAGCAAGGTAGGGGTGATCAGGCCGGCAATGGAGCAAGTTAGGGTTGATCAGACTGGCAGGGGAGGAGGTTAGCAATGATCAGGCAGGCAGGGGGGCAGGATAAGGGCGATCAGGCCAGCAGGCAGAGGCAGTTAGCCTAAACTGGCAGTGGACATCCCCTGAGGGTTCCCAGATTAGAGAGGGTGCATGCCAGGCTGAGATACCCCCCAACCCTTGTGCATGAATTTTGTGCACCGGGCCTCTAGTGTTTGTATAAGATACTGTGGATGAAATTGCAGTATTAATGTTTTAATAAAATATGGCTTCCTTATTACACTAGTTATTTATGGAACTGTAAGGTATGACTCAGACTTACTAAATATACTAGCACTTTATTTTTTTTAATCAATCTTTATTGTTCATATTATTACAAAGGTTCCTCATTTCTTCCCCCTCCACCAGGTTCCCACCCCACCCTCTGCCCCCTCCCCATCCCCCATTGTCCTCCTCCATAGGTGCAGTTTATGTTCAGTCTCTTCTTCCCTCCCTTTCCCCAATAGTAAATCCCTTTTCAGATAGTTATACTAGCACTTTAAATATATTGAAGAGTCAAATAAAAGAATGCCTTGCTTTACCCATTACCCAGTTAAATTAAATATTTTAAAATATCACAGCATGACAGCTAAATCTAAAAGGGACATTAGAGATAACTTAGTCACATCCCTTCATTTTACAAATGAGGTGATAAGAAGGAGGAGGAAAACATTTGTCTAAAAATGTAACTAGTTGGTAACAGAGCCAACAAATCTGGCTCTTCTGGGTGCTTGTGTGTCAAGCACAAAATGAAATTTTGAGTGAAAGATAAATGTTTTGAAAAATTAATTAATGTGTCGCCTTTTCTTACAAACAATCAAAGGTACCTCCCATAATAATCACCCCAAGAGGGTAAGGCCCTTCCTTACATTGTATCTGCAGCCAAAAGGCGACTGTTTCATTTCCAGCTAAGTGAGAAAGGAAACACACTCCATTCCTCGTCAGATAATATGGCATTATAAAAACCAACACTATCTTCAAGACATAGCATTCTGATCAAGTATAGAAAGCATTTTGTTAGACCGTTAGGAAATCAATAGAAAGGAATCTCTTGTGGAAAGCTAGATGCTTGAAAAGGAAAACATGGCAACATTCAGCCCTATTGTTTCAAACAGTATCCTGAACATCCTCTGGATGTCCGTGTGTGTGTGTGTGTGTGTGTGTGTGTGTGTGTGTGTGTGTGTGTGGTGTGGAGTGCCAAGACTTGTGTAGGAGAGGAAGGGGAGGGGAAGAAGGTCCCCACATGAATCTAAGCTGAGTATAGCACTAGGATTCAACTGTGTTTGACATAACTAGTGAGTGCAAAGCTGCTCTAGCAACCAAAGCCTGGTACCATGGCAGTGGGGGTGAGACTGACTCCCTGACTCCTGCCCAGGATAACACCCCAGGGACACAGAGAAGGGGTTTCCCGGGGTGTGGGTGGGGGATGAGGGGGGTGCTTAGCTGCAGCTTTGGAGCTGTACCACCAAAACCACGATTCTCTGGCACCTCCTTTTAAGAGAGCTTAACAAAGAGGAGAGAAAAGCAGCCGCTTCTCTCAGCCTGATTGGATGCATAGTTCTGAGAGGACCCTGGGAATAGACACTTGGGACAAAATTCAGCTTTCCAAACTATAAGACCCAAACATACAAAAGTGGCTGAGAATGAAATACCCTCTTTGCCTCTCTGCTTCTATTACTAAACAGTTTTTTTCTTTTAAAATTTGAACCATGTACCCTCTAAATTGGTGGGGAACGGAGAGTGGGGGAGGTGGTCTGGGACAACAACAGATATGTAAGATTTTCCTATTAATTTTGCCACTCACTGGTATACACATTTGGGGAAATCTTTTGATTGCTGGGCCCTCACTTTCCTTATCTGTAAATTAGGATAGTTTGGCCTCTTCTTGAAAATTCCATGCTTTTGTGTGAAAGGAGAAGTCTTTACAATTTTTTATTATAAAGGCAAAAACTTTTGAGATTGCAAAGGGTCTACCGGGGGCTAAAGTAAGGTCCTAGAATAGTCTATAAATAACGTTTTTTTGGTGAGTGTGTTTATGTACATAAGCATTTTTCCAGGAAGGAAAATTAGGGAAATTAGGTCCTTTGCCTTCTTTGGTTGAGACAGTAAAGGGTTCTTTAGTTTCGGATTTATCTGCTTGCAGAGCAGACCGGCAGCAATCTTTACATGGCTGTAAAATCTGTCCCACCAAGCCATCTGGAGTTTCTCATTTATCTTCATGAGCTGAGCATTTGTAATTTTTCATGGGCAGAAAGGCTGTTCAGTTTTTTTTTTTCATTAAAGAATTAAATTCTGGGGATTTCAAGATTTATCTTGATAGTGGTGGCTAAAGGAGCGCCATTTTACTACATCAGAAAATTTCCAGCATGTAGCACCTAGCACATCTGCCCATTCATGTTGAGTTATTTTACTATTTCTTTTATTCTTGAGTTAACGGACATGAAACAAAAGGCTTGGCTCCGCCTTTCTTTTTCATCTATGTTCGAGTCAGCTGTGAAATGATGAATTACCAGTGTTTCTATTTGAACAAGTCATTTATATAATATTCTTAAAAGTTGAAAACTAGAAAGAGAAGAGGAAAACGACACTAGGGAATCCGAGGAACTAAAAGAGGAAAGACGCACGTAAGGAAGAAATAGGGACCAAAGAGAAAAATCTGCATGATTAGATGTGGAAATAGTTACCAACTCCCTAAACAGAGAATCGAGTAAAAAGGCAAATTTTTTAAAACGGGGAACCTATATAGCAACCAGAGAATACTGGATGTGTTGAATACATTAAATGAACCGAGTTTTTCAAGAACATCTTTTGGCTGCTCGTCTCAGGGCCTTACGCGGCTTCTCCTTAATTAAGGCGGAGGCAGAGGCCGGCGGAGAACATCACAGGGAGAAGGATGCTGCCCGTGATCCTTAGACAAACGCGGAAGCTCAGGGGAACGGTCCTTTGTGGTCACTGAGCAGCGCCAATTAGTGAGGAACGCTGATGTTCCCCGAGACGGTATCAAAGCGCTGCACAGCCAAAGGAAGAAAAGGGCTCTCACGTGGACCTTGTCACCGTTTATGCTGGGTGACCCCAGCTGCTGGGTAACGGGCTGCGGCTTCCTCCCGTAGGACCAGCTCAGCAGACCTCTCTCTCCCAGCGGCTCCTAAGTCCCAGCGGAGGCCAAGGGACCTGCAGCGCCCCCCCGGGGACCCAGGTCCCCCCCACTCGCCCCAGACGCTGCGTTAGCCCCGTGGGCGCCGGGGAGAGACTGTCCTCAGACGACCCCGGTCCCCAGATGACCCTGGCTGGGTCCCCGTGTTCACCGAGCATCCAATGACCCCCCCTCTTTGGAGTAACGGCTCGGTGTGGCTCTCCTCAATCCCATTCATGAAAAAAAAAAACAAAAACCTGGGCTTTCAGCTCACACGCACCCCGCCGCACCCCGCCCCGCCCCGCCGGACTCCCCCGGCCGCAGCCGCAGCCGCAGCTCCCGGCCCCGGGCTGGAGGGGCGCGCGCCCCCGGCCCCCGCGCACGCGCGCCCGTTGCCATGGGGACGCACGCAGCCCCGCCGCCCGGTGGGGAGGCGGGAGGGGGCGCCGCGGCCGCTCCGGCGGGAGACGCTCGTATCGCAAGATGGCGACTGCCAGGCCGCGGGATGCGGAGTGAGCGCGCCCCGCCGGGGGCTCAGCGCGGCTGCTCCTCTCCCTCCCCGCCCGCCCCGCGCCGCGGCGCCGCCTCCCCGCCCGCCCGCGCGCCCGCCCGCCCCGCGGCCCAGCCCCCCGCCGGCAGGTACCTCCCGCGCGCGCCCCGATGGCAGCGGCCGGCGCCCGCTCCCCGGGGGCGGGCTAGCGGGTCTCCCTGAGCCCGGGGCGCCTGACAATAACGCGATCCCAACTTTTCCTTGCAGCGGCCGCCGCGGCCCGGCCTGCAGCCTCCCAGCGCCCGCCACGCCCCTCGCCGCCCGCCGCCCTCCGAGGTGCGAGCGCCGCCGGCGGCCGGTGACCTCCGGGCGGCCCGGGAGGAGCGCGTGGACCGGCGGGCGGCGGCGAGCAGCCGGCGAGCGCCTTTGCCATGGCCCTGACCCTGTTCGGTGAGTGCAGCGCGGGCCCCGCCGCAGGGGGGCCGCGCCCGCAGCTCGGGGGCGGGGGCCGGGGCGCCCCGGGCGCGGCGTGGAGCGGGGGTCCGGACGGGGCCGTCGGGGCGCCCGGGGCGCCGGGCTCGCTCCCTCGCGCCGCTCCCATTGTTCCCTCTCCAGGCGGGGCCGATGGGCGTGTGCTCCCCTGGCCCGGTGTGTGCGGGAGGCGCTGAGGTCCGGGGGGTGTTTTGTAAACGGAGGGTCCCCCCCCCAAGATGCCAACTTGGGAGCGCAGTTGGCTGGTGGTTTGCAATCCTGCCTTTCTCAAGTCGACCCATTATGGTCTTGGAAAGTTTATTTATTTTGAACGAGATGTCTGTGCATCCTAACCCATCTCAGGAATTGCCAAATGCATCCTGTGTTATTCCTGTTGAATTTTGGGGGGGGGGTTTTTTTTTTAAGACGGTACATTCCGTGGAAAACTACAGTAAGTGTTGAATGTATTCGTTAAAATTGAAAATGTTTGCTCTAACATAGGACAGCAGACAGAAGAAAGTTGGTTACTGGAAGTAAGTGATCTCGGGAGAATATCGTTGAGTGTTTCAGGAAAGAAATGTTATTTCTGTGATGTAATTACTGCAACACTATTGTTTGGTTGGCTAAGACTTCAAGGTGTATTTTTTTTTTCTTCCTTAGTCAGAAATTGACAAAGGGTTGGAAAGAGGGACTGAAAAGATACACATTCCTTCCTTTTACAGAAACAGCTTATGGTACATAAGTACCTTGCTCTCAGAAAACTCAGTACGTACAGTATGTGAAAACTGGCATGTTCAAAGTATTCAGTTTTTCAAAGAAACTAAGTCCATTGGCATGTAACTGATAGCGACAAGAACAGTCTTAGTAAGTTACTCACAATATCAAGTTTCCAGTTACGTTTTAATAATGTCATTTGATCACGCATCACATACCACAAATGCCTTTTGATGTGAATGCTTAAGAGTGAATTAATCTGCTGGCTTCAAAGAGTTACTTTAATGTCACCATCTTATTTTAGGAATTACATTTAGACCCAGGAAGGGTTTGATCAAGGTTACATGGCCTTTTTGTGGCAAAACGGAGCCTAGAACACAGTTTGCCAGTCTTCAGACTAGGGCTGTTTACGATGTCCTAATACCCACAGTACTAGAGGTGACATTTCTTACTTTGTGTTGCTGCCCCAGAGGTACTTTAAAGTAAGTAAAGTATCCTTTCTTTGTCTGGAAGAAATGATAAAAATCTCACTGTTTCCCTATACATTGTATCTAATCTGCATTGCTTAGAAGCATTTTCCTTAAGCAGTGACTTTTTTGTTCGAAAAATGATAGGAGGCTTTACTCATAGTTATTTTCTTTCGAAGAAGCATTTATCTTACACTCTTGGTGCTAATACATCGCAGTAAATTTCTCTTTAAAACTACTTCTGACTAACTTTATTGTCCTTCCTAAAGAGCGAGTCTATAGTTTCAAATTTGTTTTCAAAGGTTATGTTTACAAATTAACCACTTTTAGGGTTCACACATTCTGGGTGAGTAGAACAGATAAATTGAGGAGTATGTGATAAGGTTCCCAAAAGGATTCCTAAGTTGTGAAACCTTTTAACTCCTGAGTGGAAGTAAGGAAAGAAAGAAGAATTTGGAATTCGACCTTTAGAAGAATGTATAAGAAGCCATCCCACCCTTAATGTGAAACAAGTGTCTTTAAAAATATAAATTTATCTTGTAAGAAAATATAATTTAGTTTACAAAACCCAGCTTGGTTACATTTTTTAAGAACATTCTCGTTATAAAGCAAACTTACACCTATGTGTAGAGGCTATTTTTCCAATAATAATAGAGCAGCGGCTGCTCTCAAAAATGTAGTTGCACTCCACTCATCAGTCATCTGAGATGCCTGTTAAAAATGTTGATTCCTTTTCCAAGAGGCCAACAGCACCTGCCTTTCGGAGGGAGGGGACTTTAAAGGGACTCCCGGTGATTCTTAGGCACACTCGAGTTTGAAAAACGGTTGTATTAAAATTAAATACTGGATTTCCTCCAACTTGTCCAATTCAAAATTAGCTTTTGTATATGTTAAAAGCAGTCCTCAAGGGTTAGAAGAAGTGGATTTTATTTTAGATATTACTACTATTTAACTAATTGGTCTCAATCCTAAATACCTCCTGTCCCTTCATATTTACTCTGAGTAACCAGTTTACAACAGAGGAGCAATGAGATAATCAAGGTCTGTGAGCTGGAGGTGAAGAGAAGGTAGGAACAAGAAACCAGACAGGTGTGACTTCTCAGTCATAAAGGCTTCAGTAGATTCCTGCCTGAGCCTCCCCACAGTCACCATTGTCAGGACCCCATGTTGTGTATCCTGTGTGTGTCAGTTGGTTAGCTCCGCCTGCTGGGCTTGCCATACTAAAATACCACAGGCAGGGTGGGTTACAGAGCACACATTACTTTCTCATCCTTTGGGAGGCTGCGAAGTCCAAGAATAAGGTACCAGCTAATTCTCTACACATGGTGAGGAAGAGAAAGCAAGCTTTCTGGTCTCTCTCTCTCTCTCTCTCTCTCTCTAAATATTATTGATTTTTTACAGAGAGGAAGGGAGAGAGAGAGTTAGAAACATTGATGAGCGAGAAACATCGACCAGCTGCCTCATGCACATCCCCTCCTAGGGATGTGCCCGCAACCAAGTGGACCCTTGAGTCCACAGGCTGACACTATATCCACTGAGCCAAACAGGTTTCAGCTCTGGTCTCTTTTTTATAAGGGCATTAATCCCATCATGAGGATCACACCCTCATCCCTAACTACCTCCCAAAGGACCTCCGTCCAAATACTAAGACATTGGGGGTTAGCCTCAACATTTGAAGTAGGGAGGATGCAATTCAATGCATAGCTCCCAGCAATAGACTCCAGCGTTTTTGCTTTGTTTTACATTGCCATCCAGGTTTTATAATTGTCAAGAGTGTTCTTTTTATAGGAAGTTAGTGAAAGTTAGCTTAATTAAAAACACAAAGAAACGAGAGCTTCTAAAATTACTACAATTTTACATTTATATACATGTAATATTTTTATTTTAATGTTGTAGGACCCTCAGTAAAATAATCATCAAATTAAGCTGAAGAGTGAAGAACGTCTTCTCTTCTGTACACTATTAGTCACCTCCTTTATGCTTAAAAGGGTATTTTTAATGCAAATTTCTGCCCCATTCTGTGATAGACCAGACTCTAATCTTTCCTGGTTTTTACAGTCTTATCTGGGAGTTGAAAATATGCATTTTTAAAGTTTAGGAATTTTCAAGAATTTTAATTCAATTTTCAGAATCCACCCTTCAGACATCAGTATTGATAATTTTTAAATCCTCATATAAAAAAAATTACCTAAGTGCAGTTCTGACTCTGGTCACTCACCTTGTAAGAGACAAGGTCCCTGTCTTAGAGTTTACCTTCCAGAATGTATCACTTGGACCTGACTACCTAATTCAATGCAAGCTTTGTTAGAACCTCCCTTGACAGAGAAGCACATGTTCTTTTAATAATTGCTGGGGAAGGAAAGTCTCAGGTCATCTAATTTAGGACTTTTTAGCAGGTGTACTTGACAGAACATCCTGATTGGCTGTCCTTAGCGCTCTAGTTGACAGAGTTGAGTGAAAAAGCATTCCCCAAGTCATATCTCTCTCTCTCTCTCTCTCTCTCTCTCTCTCTCTCTCTCTCTCTCTCTCTCTCTCTCTCTCTCAAAAAAAAAAAATATTTTACTGATTTTTTTTCAGAGAGAAAGGGAGAGGGATAGAGAGTTAGAAACATTGATGAGAGAGAAACATCAATCAGCTGCCTCCTGCACACCCCCCACTGGGGATGTTCTCGTAACCAAGGTAGGTACCCTTGACCAGAATCAAACCTGGGACCTTTCAGTCCTAAGGCTGACGCTCTATCCACTGAGCCAAACTGGTTTTGGCTCAAGTCATCTCTTGGTATGAATTTCTGTCATTTATAACTAAACTGGAGGCCCAGTGCATGAAATTTATGCACATTGAAAGGGGATTAAAAAGAAATAATTTAATATTGCTATTTGCCCTTTCTCTATAATAGAAGTGTCAGAGATGAAAGAAAATTAGTAAAATATATATGAAAACCTTCCTCCTGTCAGCATCTGGGGCTCACCACGGGACCCAGAGTCAAGTCCCCACCTACCCACACACACCTCAAAATTGTGTGAGACCCAGACCCGGCCAGTCCCCCTCCCCCATTGGACTAGATCCAGACCCAGCCAGTTTCACCCTTGTCAAGCCTTGCTGGGCAAGGGGCGTAGCCTCAAATCCCTGGGCCTGGTGCCAGGACTGGGGTCGTGATTTGAGGTTTCCCCAGCCCAGACTGGGGCAGGAGGCTGCCTTGAGGTCCTCCCTCAAGCCCCTCCAGGTGGGGGACATGGATCCCCTGAGATCCCCTGTCAAGCCCCACTGGGTGGGGGGCATGGCCTCAGGTCCCCTGGCTTGGTGCTGGGGTGGGGGCATGGCCTGAAGTCCCCTGTCAAACCCCACCTGCTTGGGGGTGCGGCCTGAGGTCCCCTGGCCTGGTGCTGGGTCAGGGGGAGCAGCCTGAGGTCCCTTAGCCCAGCACCAGGACGGGAAGCATTCCTTGAGGTCCCCTGCCAAGCCCCACCTGGTGGGGTGTGTGGCCTGAGGTCCCCTGTCAAGCCCCATGGGGGTGGGGGAAGGCGTAGCCTCAGGTCCCTGCTGATTGCTCATTAGAGTCCTTAAGGGAACTTGGCCTCAGCTGTGGGTGCAGCCATCTTTGTGATGGAGTGATGGTCAATTAGCATATTCCCTCTTTATTAAATAGGATGGGGCTGTTGTGTACAGTCAGGACCTAATGATGAGATTGGTAACTCAGTTACAGTTCAGCTGGGTTGGCTGAGCCCTCAATAACTCTTCTCTGTGTGGGTGGAATTGGCTCTGGGGTGCCCCCTCTCTCCCCTTATCTTTTCTCTCTCA